TTATGTTTCACAGCTGTCTTTTTCTTTTTTTTTTTCTTCGCTCGACATTACGAGCACTGCTCCGTTTAGCCGGGGATATGCGTTTAGCCGGGAGAGCTCGCCCAGAGTGGAGCTCTCAGTAAGGGACCGTCGGAAAAGTGCTTTTCTTTTTCGTTTTTTTTTTCTCCGTCCTGCGTATTTTATTTTAAACACAACTCATTTTCTCTTAAATGAGCACAAACGGTTACTAAAGTACTCGAATGCTTCATTCGCTCATTCATATAGATCTGTGCATTCTTACATGAACACCTCTGTTATCAAACAAAACACAATGAGAGATTCATTTGCTGCTCTTCACTAAATAACTATAGTAACTTTAATCAATATGCAAATACAATTAAAAGTTAAATAGATTTTATAGCTTTATTTAATTTCTGTATAAGCCATTGTTTTTAATAGGCTAAACCTTTTATTTTATTGTCAATATTTTCTATTGTTTGCTATGTATTCTATCATTTGAAGCTATTTGTTGTCCCATATTTTTTTACATCCCAACCTTGACAGATATGGCATATTATTGCTAATCACTAAATAGCTATAGTGCTATCTGTAAGTTTTAGCGTCAGCTAATGTTATGGAAGGGCAAAGATGTTAGGAAAAATAGTAATAGTAATGTAACTACCGCCATCATTCCTTCCTCAAGCAAATGTGTAAATATTAGATCTATTCAGCGATAACGTTAATTGCATTGGCATATTTATCTGACGTTTTCTCAGCTTGTAGTAGTCGATCAAAAAGCTATTTAGTTTCTTATGACTACACTAGCAGTGGAATTTACTGCTATGTGACGGGGCGCCACCTGAAATCTTGCCTAGGGCGCCAAATTGGTTAGGGCCGGGCCTGGTGAACGTGGCATCATTTCGGCTGGCGATGTGCACAACAATTGTTGTAACTTCAAAGCAGCTCTGCGTATGACAACTTTAAACGTGACAACACCTTTAACGTCACGACACACCAAACTGATGCCAAACAACAAGCGCCGATGAAAACCAACTGTGTTGTTGAATTTCGTCAGGCACGTCTGGTTTCGTCTGGACCAAAAAGCTGCACATGAACGCACCAAACGGACTGCAGCAGCCTGAAATGTGAACGTGTGTTCTGTGCCTGTGTGATAAGATGTATTTCCACAACCTATAGCCCATTTTCTTATCCCTTACATCGATGGAAAAAAAAACTCACAATAACAGGTCACCGGAAGTTTATCAGTATGTAAACAACACTAGCTCGGCATATACCCTATTCAGTGCAGAACCAGGGTGTTTACACACTGTGAAACTATTTTAGAATCCAATCATTTGCATGTTTGACCTGCATTTAAAAGAACAAAACACTTGCTAATTAATCATCATTTGCCTTTTTCCATTGCACAGGTGCAAAGGGCTTGGAGCTTTACCAGCAGTGGAAGGGGAGAAGAAGGCACAAAAAAGGGCACCATCTCTCAGTACTTCACAACACTGCATTGTCCGGTTTGTGATGAGCTGACGCAACTGGGAGTGTGTGCACGTTGCCGGGCTGAACCACAGTGTGTTGCTGTCCACCTACACCAAGACTTGCGGCTTTGGGAAAGTCAGCAAGACCAGCTTTTGAAGGTAGGAGGTCTTGTTGCTTTAGTAGGCCAGGGTTTGTTCACAATTGAATATGTCAGGAGCCTCATGTACAAAGACTTGCGTTGAAATAATACTAAAACATTGCGTACGGACAGGGCTGTAAATGTGCGTAAATCCCACGCAAAATCCCACACATATTCATAATACATCGGAATTAACGTGAAACGCTCAAGCGCCCCTCCCTGCCGCCTCCTCTGTATAAATATGGTAATGACTCCACTTTGGCAAAACCAAAGGAAAAGGCAATGGCAAAAGCAAGCAAGAAGAGAAACTTTACAGAGGGCTCTATTTTGACGGTCCATGCGCAAAGCGCAGGGCGCAAACGCTTTCAGGGGGTATCAGAATGCATTTTCGCTAATTTAAGGATGGGACTAAGGACCAACGCACACCTCCCACCAGTGCCGATATACAGCCATATCGCACTGATACTCGTGTGATATTGCGTTTATACGTTTGAAAAAATGTAATTAGTTTAAAAAGGAAGGGGTTTCAGAAGATAAAAATAGATTAAGGTTGTTCTGACTTTGATTTTTGAAGACTAGATTTTGATAGTGTTCAATTTCATACGCTCTTAACTTGTTTCAGTTGCACAAAAACACTTCATGTATTCCTTAATGAACAATGTTTAGGAAAATACAAATATAGAATTATACAAAGAAAATAGAATGAATATAAAGATATTACAATGATACAAATATACTTGCGAATATGCGCAAATATATTTACAACTACATAGTGTTGACCTTTATAGTTTAGGTTTTACTTGAAATAGTGAAATGAGAGTGCTGCAAAAGCTTTTGTGTCCTGTTCTAACAGGAATGGCAGTACAGCTGGGAGAGATCTTGCATCATCTGTACAGAAATGCCCTTTGTATAGACTTGAATTGACTTTTCTTCAGCCTGACCAAAGAGCATAGAATCACCAAGAGGCGACACTCTAGTGCAGTTTAGGAAACAGCCACTAGATGGCACAGCGGCCATTTTAGAATGAAAACTCTAATACAGGGGTGGCCAACCCTGTACCTGGAGAGCCACCTTCCTGCAGATTTCAGTTGCAACCCATATCAAACACACCTGCCTGTAATGATCACGTGGTGTTCAGGTCCTAATTAATTGGTTCAGGTGTGTTTGATATGGGTAGCAACTGAAATCTGCAGGAAGGTGGCTCTGCAGGAACAGGGTTGGCCACCCCTGCTCTAATAGAGCAACAGCATATTATAAATCTGTAAAATAATCTACTAAAAGTGCTGATGATTGTGAGGGTTAGTGTTTTATCGTCGTCTTTCAGGTTGTATCTCCGCTTCAATGCACTTTGTCTATGATTGTCGCCTCTTGGTCATTCTAAGCTCTTTGGCCTGACACTTGACGCATCCCTACTGAAAAATCCAGCTTAAACCTAAAAGAGGGGTTTTGGCCATTTCCAGGCTGGTTTCCAGCCATTTCCAGTCTGGTCTTAGCTGGTCAGGCTGGGAGATGACCAGCTAAAACCAGCTTGACCAGCCTAGCCAGGCGGAGAGCCCAGCCAAAACCAGCTATGTCCAGCTTAAACCAGCCTGGTCAAGCTGGTTTTAGCTGGATTTAGCTGGTCATTTTCCAGCCTGACCAGATAAGACCAGGCTGGAAGTGGCTGGAAACCAGCATGGAAATGGCCAAAACCCCTCTAAAACCAGGCTGGTCGACCAGCTAAAACCAGCCAACCAGCCTAGGCTGGTTTAAGCTGGATTTTTCAGCAGGGATGTTTACCTTTGAATGTGAAAGTGATCCTCTGTTGTTTGTATGTTGTGATTTGATCGACAGATCTGTCGAAGCTGCAGTGGCAGTGCAGAGCGCCAAGTGCCATGCGTCTCATTGGACTGCCCTATACTCTACAAACTGTCTCGTGTTAATAGGAATTTATCCCGGGGCCCATACCTTCGGCAGCTGGTTGAACAGTTCTTGTAGTTCAGCCATCTATCCCCCACACCCTGGCATTTTGTTGTGGTGCTTAACATTGTGTGCCGTTCATCTGAGGACGCCGAACTGATCCTGATGCACTGTTTACATTTCCTGTGTAGCTGTATTTTGAGTGTTTGACATTTCTGCTAATTGGCAAGTCGAAGGACATCATCATCTGCGCTGCAGCATTTTCAACATCAAGGGTATTCAATTCTAGCTGCGATTCTTTAGCAGCAGTGTTTGACTCTAGTGATGCTTCCTCTGTATTAGAGAAGTCTTGTAAATAGGCCTTGCATATAATGATCTAAACGTGAGGGGGGGAAACAAGGGTTGTTTGATTTTCCTGGCTCCGCTTCGGGATTTCACAGATTTTCGGAGAAAGAAGTGTCTTGTTTGTCCATCTTGCATATGGGGGAAAGTCCGAGCACAAGCAAATCAGTGTAAGCCTCGGACTTTTAAAGTACGCTTGATAATTTATTGCAAGAGTAAATATTATCTGTGTTGACAATTGTGATTTTAAAAACCCCTTTCCGATGCCTTCTCTGTTCTGATCCAGACACCTGTATAAAAACTCTGGATTGTTTTATATAGAGCTGCATAATCAGTGTTTGTAAATGTAAAAAAAAAAATACCAAGGTGCTTTGTTTTTAAAGAACATTGTGATGTAAAGTTGTATCAAATAAAACTCATTGCATATAACAGATACTTACTTTCTGCTGGAATTGACCCTTTGGTTGCTGTTATTATTCTTCATATTTGTGTGTACACTACTGTCATTCATAAGTCAAACGGGGCTTCAGCGTCAACGCTTGACTGAAGGCGTGTCTGAAGTTGAAGCTAACGCGATCGTCATAGCAGCGTTAGCCAATTAAATTCAGTCAGCAATAGGCCACTGTCTAGCTGGTGTATTTGCATACAGCGATCTGATTGGCGCTTGAAAAGTTGAGGTAGTCCCAACTTCTGTAGCGAGCAACGCCTCTAAAGCGGCGCAGACTCATCCACTATGCAGTTCGGCAACGCCTGACATCACCCATTCAAAGTGAATAGGAAGCATTGACGCTGACGCTCCGTGAGAATAGGGCGCAAGTCAACTAGTCATGCCTTACATTATTTCTGTCTCTGCAGTCTGTAATCACAATTCATCAAGTGTTACAGCACATTAAAGAAGAGATTTCCAATTTATACAGTAAAATTTATGTCAAAGACACCAACACATTTTCTGTTGTAACTGTGCCATGCAATAAAGTGACAATGGCTGCATTTACACTGCAGATCTTGATAATCAATTAAGTCACAAAATCGGAATTGACCATCAAGACCTGCAGCCGAAATGTGGCCGATGACTGTCATTTCATCTGGCATTAACTGATTAGGATCAGTTACAACAACAAAAGTTAAGTGAGAAATGAATCAGCAGTCATTTATTGGAAAATTAATATAATTGTCTTATGAACACAAAAATATAAAGGACTTGAGCAATGATTTCATCTACGATGTGTTCTTAGTACTATCTGACCACAAGCGCACACTACTTAATCCTTTCACAGCCCTCAAGACTAGTGTACTGGTATTGTGCTAGTTAGCTTAGAGTCAAATAAATAGCAGATGATGATCGATATTCCAGTTTCACAGCAACTGTCTGACAAATACGCTGATTTGCAATTACATCCTGATAACTCATTGAAATGCATGCAACTGGGAGTCAGAAAGCAGTGAATTAACTGAATCATGTGAACTTTTGGCTCGATACAAAATGCATTAGGCTTCAGGTGGATCTGGCGTGAAGGATTAAGCTCGCTGATGTGAAGGTTCATAGCAGCGGATTTTCAGTTCCTGGCTAAATGCCGAGACCTCTTGGATGTAGTGCAATCTATTAGTCTTTCCTCTCTCTGTTGAGAACTCTGTTTAGAGTTTGCTTCTAGGAGAGTCTGTGGAAAAGGACAGCATGTTAGGTTCTGACAGTGGGGACGCAACCAGGTGGACGTCAGGCACGCTGGCTGCAACATCAGCTGGCGGTGAGGATTTCGGAGAGCTCAACAGGCTGGCGTCATCCATTTCGATGACCTCAAAGTCTGCATCGTTGCACAGGTCGGCTTCGCTTTCGTTTTCCTCCTGCTCCTCCATGTTCTCCAGCAGGGCTTGGCGGTACTCGCTGTCGTCTGCATCCTTGATGGTGCATTTCCCTGAACTTTTCCGTAAGGTGACATTCCCTCCTGGTGAGGCTAGTTTGTATAGGACGGGGAACAGAATCGAAGTGAAGGTGGCTGTGCATAGCGTCAGGTACATCAGCAAGGGATGATTCTGCACATGCCCCAGTAAGAAGCCCAATAGTGCTGGGAGAACCATTTCTCCAAGAGCTGCGCCCACCACAAATATTGCAGCCGAGCGGCCGGTCACAGTCGTGTACTGCTCAACCCATGAAATCCCACTGGGAAAAGTTGTAGACATGGAGATGCCGTACAGAGCAGTGCAAGCCCAGAGCATAGGGTAGTTCTGGCTGAAAAGGCAAAGCAGGAGGGAGGAAACCGTGGTGCCCACTAAGCTCAGCAGAATCAGGGTGCCCGGATGTAGGCAGGCCGCAAAGAATATGGCCAGACCCCGACCGGCTGCGAATGCTCCCCAGAACAGCGAATTCAGTCCTGCTGCCTCGGTCTCCTCCATATGAACGTAATCCTTTCCGTAGGTGAATATAAAGGAACCATATGCCACCTCGCTTCCAACATAGAAAAAGAAGAACATGGACAGCAGGATTATGAGTGTGTTGTGGTGTTTGGAGAACTGCTGCTTTCCCGAGGCCGTCTTTGTCCTATTTGAGTTTGTGGAAATGCAGAAGTACAAGGAGAAAAAGAGAAGTGACACCAACAAAACAAAAGCGCCTATCACAATGTAGGCCCACATCCACGGTAGGTCGATCGTAGAGGTGCCCTTCGCATGGGAGAACGGCAAGACTGCGTCAATAGTCTTGGAGGCATGGCCAGACATCAGAGACGTGTTAGTGGAGGAATTGTGGTGGCCGAAGAGCAGCTTGGCTATGATTGGTGAGGCAAAGGCTCCAGCAGCAAAACTAAAATGCAGAGCCTGCATGTGAGGCCCAGCCTGCTCTCCCCACGTGTTCAGTATGAGAACGTTACCGCCTGTTGACAATCAGAAGCTCAGTTAGGGTAGCGCCTATTAAGGGATGTCTGCTGTTGTTAGCATGCATAGATATATACACTAGATATCGCATAGGGACCCTGAGCATGCGTCAATAGCGCCGCCACATTGGTACAGTGCTCCCAGGACAAGTGTCATTCAACCGCACTAGTCAAGACAGTGTTATTACGTGACGATGTGGGACTTTAGCGCTGTCTACAGGGGTTCGTTCTTCGTACGTGGATTACTCAGTTAGCTGGATTTGGATATTGACGATTTGACACGATCCAGGATCGTTTCGTTCTTCAAAGCTGATCCGAGAGTTGTTGTCATAGCAACAGTTCTGCTAGGTCAAACCTGATCGGGAGCAGGTTCAATTCATATAAACAGGATTAGATCGGCTCAGTTCAAGCAAAGATAATACAGAAAGCATGTTCCGAATTCTGATATTTTCTTACACTAGTAGTTATATACACTTTGGAAAGTGGTACATATTTTTAAACCATATATATATATAAAGTTATAGTCATTAATAAAATAAATAAAGTTATACATATTAATAAAACGTATGCAATCGACACCCTCGAAATGAAAGTACAAAGACTGCCACCTGGTGGTGCAAAGAGAAAACTTATTGATATTAACTTTTTAGATCGCTTTAGTACAAATTGTGTAAAATAGAAATGCAAAATATGTGACTTTTTTAAAGCAATAATACATTTCAGCAGTCATAAACATGTTTTGATAGTTAATATGCCAGTGATTTGATGCTTCACAAAGGTTGCAGACGCCTTTACCAATATCAAAATGCTTTTGTAAACAACCAGTTATTCTTTACACAGATTAAAAAACGGCTACTATAATCAAGAAAATCTTTTCTAAATGTGGAACTAAATACACTGATTTGCATTGAAATACATGATGAATACTCTTGACACATGAAAGTGTAAAGCCTGCAGCTCACAACAAATGTGGAAGGTTATTGCGTGTCATATTTAACAAGCCGTTTACTGCGAATTTGATGTAATTTTGCTCACATGGATAACTGAATATTAATCAGATGATGTCATTACGCTGCTGTGCCGTCAGCCAATCGTTGCATTGCTGATCATGATTTCGAGGATCGATAGATCTGTCCTTCTCAACACATGCAGCGATCTCAGATCAATTTATCCAGACATTCTAATCTGATTTGCGAACTCGTTTGAAGAACCAAATTAGCGAGAGATCAGTTATCAAGATTAAAAGATTCAGGATCTGCCAAATAATCTAAGATCATTTAAGTGAGGTACGAAAAACGGACCCCAGGTGTAGTAACGAGCAAACAAAGAAAACAAAGCACAAAGGCAGAACATTACATAGGTAAGATTTAGTTTTTTACGTTTTTTTATGTTCTGAACTTTTGTGCCCTATTATTGATGATAACAGTCACTTACTGCATTCACCATAAGGCAAAGTAGCTCCAACTCGCACAAAACACTCGGCTTATGCTAGTTTTGTTGAATAAAATCAGCAAAAAATGCAAAAGAAATATGACAACGAGATGCTGCGCTGCCAGAAACTTGTATTTTTGTCAGCTAGTGAACGAGTCGTTCATAACGGAGATTCATTCATAAACGAATCCCTCCGTCAGTATGAGAAGTGAAAGCAGGAGAGGAGGTGTGTTTCAGGACATGATTAGATCAAATTAAACAGGGAGAGTGGACAGTACATTTCTGTACACACAAACACAAGCTTTTTGTCAGGAATGCCCGTGCGATCACTGATCCATCAATGTAGAAAAGTGATGTAAAATTATAATTTTCGTAATAAAAAAAAAAATGTGCATACTAACATCCAGGAAAACTCCCGATCACAGATATATGTGTATATCTCTGGCTCTGGATGGCCACAGTCCTCCACTGCAGCTTGGTCCCGCATTCATTTCAATGGAGCGCTACCCTGTACTAAAATGGCGGCTCTATTGATGCATTCCTTCCAATAGACGACAACAGGGTAGGCGACATCTAATGTATATATCTATGGTGAGCATGTATCTTACCTGTATCTAAAACGCCCATTGACACTCCAACACTGGACATCAAAACAGTGAGCACCCAAGCCTTTTTACAGAAGGGAGTCCCAGACATCCCAAAAGCTGTGGTTAGCAATGCGAAGCCTGCGAATATAAATCAACCATAAGAAACACTTCACAAAAAGAATTGGAATTAATAAGCATGTGCATGAATGCAAAAATAAGAGCAAGAAAACTCTGCTACGCTACTCAAAAATACTATAATAATTGCATATATGCGACATCTTACATACTGTAACATCAGAGACAACTCATTCATGACATTTTGTGCCAGTGAAATAGATGTTATTTGGCCATCTTAGCTCACATTATTATAACTTTCTTTCATCTTTTTGCTGCTTTTCACTTTCGCATCATTTTAAGAAATAAGTTAATTCAAATTATTATTTCATTAGACTAAAATCTTTGCTGTTCCTCACATTCTCACCTTTACCTTCCTTAAACCTAGAGCATTATAAGTCATATTGTTAACCGTTTGACCAACTTCATAATCACCTGACAGTTTTATAAATAAATCATTTACAAAAGTTAAATATTACAATGGAGCCTTCATTTAACACAGTGTGATCTTTCCCTTTGGTCTGTGGGCCTTACCCAAAAGAAGATGGGGATTCACAAAGTCAAAAAGGATCCCTCCTAACAAGGAGCCTCCAATGTACCCAGAAGCACGACCCACAAATATATAGGATAAGTTACTGATGTTCTTGTTGACATTGATGGCCAGGTCTTCAAAAGTAGGGCCCAATACAGAGATGGCCATTCCCTATAAATATACCATACATACATGTAAGATCTTTGAACATTTCAACAAGTACACATACACATGAATAGATTTCACAGAGTGATCATTTCAAATTGTAACTTTATCTTAACATATTAGTATTTACATGAGATGTACTGTGCACTTCTTGTGAATGAACAGAATCTGATTGGAAACGTATTATAAGTGATTTGATTTTGCCCCTTAGTCATTTGTGAATGTGTTAAACTAGATAACTAAGCTACACTTGTCATCAAATACCATAAAGTAATCGAATAAATACTTCATAATCAGACAATTGCTTCTGAATGTACTATACCCTACCCAGAACAACCTGTCAGCCTCGTTACACCATCGTTTACCTGTCTGGCATCTTGCGCCCTGCTGAAAAATCCAGTTTAAACCAGCCTAGGCTGGCTGGCTGGCTGGCTGGTTTTAGAGGGGTTTTGGCCACTTCTAGGCTGATTTCAAGCCATTTCCAGCCTGGTTTTAGTTGGTCTGGCTGGAAAATGACCAGCTAAAACCAGCTTGACTAGCCTAGTTTAAGATGGACATAGCTGGTTTTGGCTGGGCTCCTATCCTGGCTAGGCTGGTTTTAGCTGATCATCTCCCAGTCTGACCAGCTAAGACCAGGCTTGAAGTGGCTGAAACCCCTCTAAAACCAGCCTGGTCGACCAGCTAAAAGCAGCCTAGGCTGGTTTAAGCTTTTTTTTAGTAGGGGCACCTTATACAAATAATCCTGTTTCATGACGTAGACTTAAAATTGGTTTTATATTCAAATGCTCAGACATTCCCCTTGATAATATAACTTCAGGGAAGTATTCTTTGCAAATTCTTAATAGGGAAATCATATTAGCAGCCAGTAATTATCAAAGTAACGTTACAGCATTGTTTACAGTCAATTAGATACTGCTTATGTTGTTTTGAAGTCATCCTTGCATGCTAATTCTGACGGAATATTCAAATTAGCGTGGTAAACAATATAAAAAGTTAAATGAACAAATGTGCGAATATAAAACCAACTTTACCTCAATTTTCATGATAATATTGTTCAACAAACTGAAATTCGAACATCTATTTTCAGTTTTCTATTTTTTAATAAAACCACAGGATAATGCAGACATAAATTAACATAGTTAAAGCACTGGTCTTATATTAGTTCATTTTATCGTTTATCATTTTAACGTATCCAAGGAAAGAAACAGAGAAGACCCACCAGCCCGAGAAACGATGAGCAAAGCGCAAGACTGACCAGCCATCGCCAGCATGTCCCAGTTTTGCTTCGACCGGGTCTAACTACATCCACCTGACCAGACCCCTGGCTGAGAATCCCTTTACCCCCTTTTAAAACGCTTTTTAGTCCTTCCTTAACATCTTTCTGCTTGTCAAAAAGAGTATTCTCTTCCTGGTCGTCATGGTCAACGTCCCCTTCCATCCTGGCGAAGCGAACGTGTTTTTTCCTTGGCGCTGCTTCAGCAGGTGACATTGCAGCACGCCTCTTGCTCTGTTGTGGACGAAAAAGCTGTCAACGCTGCATTAAAGTGTTTTTCATGGGTTGTAGACCGACCTAAAATGACCCACAAATGACCTATTCTCGACTATAAACACATCGCATTCAGAATTATTTAAATAGACGCACACTTGACATCGACAGGACATCAGAACATCAGAAACATTGTGTGTTTACGCACTTTAAAATTCAAGCACTAATGTAGCCAGAGGTTCAAAACTTCCGGATAATGTAGGAGCGCATGCGCAGAATCAAATGCTTTTTGCACACCGCCATCAATCTGTGGACAGATCAGAGACAGATACGTCTACTGCACACTAATGGCTGCGTCTGACATCGCATTTACTATATAGCATACAAAAAAACTGTATTTTCTTAGTTTTGTTGAATACATCATTAAAGAGTAGGCGTGAAATATCCAGATGTACTGCACACAAAAAAGATATGGGATGTGAGGCTGCGATCTTCCTGCTATCTTGGCTGAATTTAGCCCTGAATTAATTTAAGGAGATGATTTTTTTTTTTATTGCATCATAACACAATTACAATAAGGCAAAATTTGAATAACAACTATTATCTACATTTATAGAACAGAGCACAAATAATAAAGTCAATAACATAGTAAATCAAAATGAAAAAAAGTTTAATTTAAGGAGATGATATGCATGTTCTCCCCGTGTTCGCGTGGGTTTCCTCCCCAACATTATGAAGCTGCAGGCCCGGAGACCCAGACGGCTAGACCTGCACTTCCAGAGCTTCACAGTGCCACCTGCTGTTTGAAAGATCGACTAACCTGATCCAGCTGCTCATAAATTGTCACAAACTATTTTTCTGCTATATAAAATATTACGCTATGATTGAATACATTATATATATGAAATATTAAACATACTAGATTTTCATTTAATGCATTAATTATGTTGTTTTTTTATTGTATTTGTAAATATTGTTTAGTTACTTCAATATTTTCTGTTTCGTATTGAGTTAAGGGAATGGATATTATCTTCATATACAATAAATTTCTTCACATACAATAAATTATAGTACTCTGGGTAATTTACTCACAAGAACTTTATTTTTGTGTGTACTTTTTCGTGAGGCCCTACAAGTCATCAAGCTGTAAACTATGCAGGTGAAAAAATAATAATTGGATTAATAAGTTTTACATAGAAAATAACATCAAATAAAATAAATACTTTCCATTCTTCTTGGGGAGATTTTTCATTTCTCGAACAAAAAAACAGTGGAAATATCTGCAGTCCAAAGACATGTATAGGTGCATTGGGTAAGCTAAATTGTCCGTAGTGTATGTGCGTGGATGAGTGTGTACAGATGTTTCCCAGTGATGGGCTGCAGCTGAAAGGGCATCTGCTATGTTAAACATATGCTGGATAAGTTGGTGGTTCATTACACTGTGGCAACCCTAGATGTTTAAATGGATAAGCCAAAAAGAAAACGAATGAATGTTCTTTGCAGCTTTAAGAGCAAGCTTAGAGGTTAAGGGTGCTTTCACACCTCTTTCACGTCTCGTTTGCCCAGTTAGCGCAGTTCATTTGGCATATGTGAACAGGGCACATTTGGCGCTCTGTTCCGCGCCAAAGTAATCGCTCCGAGATTGCTTGAATGAGGTGATCTCGGCTCGATTGAAACGAACCCTGGAGCGGTTCGATTGCATTGTTATATCACAGTGTTTTATGGATATGTAATAGGCTTACGGCTATATAAAGAGAGAATTATGAGTAGGGCGGGAAATAATGTTTCGAAAAATATTTGCCTGAGCTTGTAAGCAAGATATAGAAATTATTATTATTATTATTATTTTTTTGCAAAATGGCAAATTACGTGGCAGTTTTTTTTTCCGCTTTGGTTTAAAGGTTTTGTTTTGTTCCATTTAGGCCAAACTTAATTCCAACTGAGAAATGTCACATATACAATGAATCAAATATAAAGTGTATAAAATACAAACATACATTTTTTTTTTTTTTTTTTGCCTTTTTACTCTTCGTTATTTTTAAAGCCTCTCTATAGGTGGCGAACTCCTTTTTAAAGATAGGAGGAGCTGTATTCAAAAATATGCATTTGTAACCCCGCCTGTCTTACACCACCCAACCTGCTCCAAGCTGGGTTTGAACTGGCAACCTGCCGCATGGAAGTCCATGCCGCATGGAAGACCATGGCCTCTAGCATCAGTCGCTAGAGCACTTTTAGAGGTCAGCGGAGTGAGGTTTACCTGCATAGCACAAACTAGTTGACCTCAGTTACACTCACCCCCCAAACCTCACTCCCATCTGGGTCATGGCAACAATGTAACACCACCGGTTTTACACCACCCAACCTGCTCCGAGCTGGGTTTGAACCAGCGGCCTTCCACATTGGAATCGGTCGCTCTAACAAGGAGGCTAAAGACCATGACCTCTAGCATCTGCCGCTAGAGCACCTTTAGAGGTCAGCGGAGTGAGGTTTACCTGCACAGCACACACTAGCTGACCTCCATTACACATTTATGAATAAAAAAATTTAGTAAATCAAGTAAATAATTCAATCAAGTCATCATTTTTGTTGTTCAAGTGTGCTTCAAATTTCACAATGTCCCAACAAATAGATGAAAACAACAAAATATACTGTTTTATCCAGTTGCCCACATCAGACCAGACAGAACAACACAATCTCACGGCAATTCGTAACTTTTTCATTTAGTGGCTAATTCGTATGAATTCGTACGATCTAATTCGTACAATTTAGTACGATTTGCTTATCCCCCAATGACGGTTAGGGGTGGGGTCAGGTGCCACGCCTCCTTTTTAAAATTGTACCATTTCGCACGACTGAACTCGTACGAATTCGTACGAATTAGCCACTAAACTGGCAAAACGTAAAATACTTACGTTTTCTCGTGAAATCAGACTGGATAGAACTAACCAATTTACAGTGAAGAAATGGACGTTCAACATTTTCAATATCAATATTGTAGAATTGTCAAACACTACAATTCACATTCAGTCTTTTTCCGAAAAACTCCTTTGCAGTGTAAATATCATACATCATTTAAAAATTTACTTAATATTTTGGAGGAAAAGGACATCAAATATTTGCATCTAATTTTCTTTACTAAATTCTTATTAAAATGTTAATAATAGGCGACGCAGTGGTGCAGTAGGTAGTGCAGTCGCCTCACAGCAAGAAGGTCGCTTGTTTGAGCCTCAGCTGGGTCAGTTGGCGTTTATGTGAGGAGTTTGCATGTTCTCCCTGCATTTGCGCGGGTTTCCTCCGGGTGCTCCGGTTTCCCCCACAGTCCAAAGACATGCTGTACAGGTGAATTGGGTAAGCTAAATTGTCAGTAGTGAATGAGTGTGTGTGTGGATGTTTCTCAGATTGGTTGCGGCTGGAAGGGCATCCGCTGCGTAAAACAAGTGCCCAGATGAGATATATAGGCAAGTCCCTCTGTCTAAAGACGGTGTGAGCTCAAAGCAGCTGAGGTAAGATGTGGCAAATTTGGTACTGTGATCCTAAAACATGTGATAGATCACTTTTGTAAAAGATAAAGTTCAGTGATCATTTGATAATTACAGGGGTCAAACCATAGATCTTTGACAGGGCAGATATGGGTAGTAATATATATAGCTAATTTGTGGCCCAGATCTAACAAACAGGAGTGGACCACCCTAGAGCCATCATTCCATTCAGTATGTGGTCCGGATGTAAGTGTCTTGTGTGGGCCGGATCTGGGTCAGAATAAAAGCAAACTGTGGCCCAGAATAGGGTCAGTTCTGGTTCATTTGGTTGAATTCTGGCTGATACGTGCCATTGCTATGGCTTAATTGTGGCCCAGATCTGGCAAACAGGAGTGGACTGCCCAAATGCCATCATTCCATGCGGTATGTGGGCCGGATGTAAGTGTCTGGTGTGGACCGTATTTGAGCCACATGAATTTTGCTAGCTTTAGTCTGATTGATGAATCATGAAATAGTTAATGCATGACCATCTGTGTTTCAAGAGTTCACACTTAGATACTGTTTAACAACTTGTTAGCAAGTTAGCAGGTTTGGCATGCTGTCCAGGGAGAGAACCCTGAGCTCGGAGATAATTGATCCCAGGGCTCCCGCCAGGTCCATAGAGCATGTGAGGGGAGTACGAGATCAGGTGTTCTCGAGAGCTCCCCTCGGCAAAAGAGGAAAGGAGGAGAAGGGGTGGATGGGGGGTTTCTTCGGGAAAACGAAGATAAGGGAGTAGTTATTAGCTACGTTACTTTTAGTGAGTTTAGATGAATCTGACTGGCTGGCTAATGAGTGTAGATGAGTGGCCAGCTGCAGTCAATCATATCACGTGCTCCTCTTGAAATTAGTTTGTGAAGCTTCATTTAATCGTAAGCAAGCGATCCTATCGAAATTACTTTATAAATTGATTTCAGAAGCTGAACTTCCACCGTGACATTTATACTAAACGAAGCAGTTTCAACTTAACTAGATCTTACACCAGCATTCTGCCACTTCTCTTATTCCTGCCTGAATTGTTGGAATGTTCCCCAATTTGAAATATTACGGCTTTTACTCTGTTTTCATCATCTGTGTTCAGCTGTTTTGACAGCTTACGTTGTAAAAGCACTGTGGAAATAAAGATGAATTGAATCAAACTTCTCATGGCTTTGTGAGCGTCTCCGTAAGTGAGACAGCGAGTGACAGAAGAGACTCCAGCTGCTTTTGAGCCTGAAGATTAAGACTATACTTTCAGGGATCATTTCTATAGTTTCTCACTAGGAAATGTGTTTCGAAAGTGTTGTGTTTCCCAAACCGCGATGAAGAGTGTTGATGCTCTGTTCTATGCGTAAATCTGGTGTAGAGAAATGGTTTGTCTCATATGCTCTACACTGTTGATGACCGCTCCTGACTGATTAAAGCAGTTTTGGAGGAAAAGAGTATGAACTGAGCGGCAGTTAGACTTGATGAACAAATACAGTTGTGAAAGATTGGTTTTACGAAGTTATAACATCTTTGGAATGTTAATCAAAATTTAGAATTAAGTGTTTTTTTTTATCTTTATTTGTTTTGTTTTTTCATAACTGCTGTCCTGCCCAATTTTATTGTCAGAACAGAAATGCCTGTGGTCTGCTAAACCTAGATTCCCTCAAGGCTTTTTCTTTATTTCCAGTAGTTGGTAGAGTTCAGGTTTCTTGAAATTTTAGACTGGATCTAGTGGTCTGAATCTATTGTGGCATGTAACGTGTGG